GGGGTTATTGTCTATGTCATCAAAATGTCATTCAAAAATGTGGTGAATAATCGAATTATGTAATAGGTAGAAATGGTAAATAAAGGGTTAGTTAAGAAAAAGATGTTACTAAAAGGTCAAACAAAAATTCAACAACAAAACATTCAATCTTTTTCTTAACCAACCTTTTATTTACTCTTTCTACCTATTACATAATCTATTTTGGCCACTTATCTCCATGCTCTTTCATTAACATCCTATTTTTTTTAAATGTGTGTCTTTCATATTACGCAACCCTTATCAATACTTACGAATCTTCACCCCCAACCTCCAATCATAACTTGATTGAAACATTTTGATGACGTAAGGAGGGAATAACCCTAACCAATTTCGATTTTTGTTTGACAATCCTAATGTACACATACACACACACACACAAAATAATTATATATAAATGCGATTATACAACTTAGTGAATGAATTTGCCGTCGAAAAGAGACACTTCGCTGGACTTTTTATTTCTTATTATATTCATGTCTGGATGGTTATTTTCTGTGGAAATATATTAGTTGCTCATCAAAAACATCCAAGATGCAGGTGGTTGTACAATTAAGTAAGTAGACTCATCCAAAAAGAGACTCTTTAAGTGTACTCTTCTTTTTTATCATCCAAATATTATTTGTATATGTGTATGTCATTTTAATACTAGTTTTCATGGAGTGTGGAGGATGTCTTGTTTGAAATAGGATGCAGTACACGGTATATAATGGTGTATCTTCCTCTGCCTTGCTTACTGAAGCTGGAGTTCCTCAGGGTGCTGTTCTTTCTCCGTTTATCTTTTCCTTCTTCTCACATGACTTACCTCTTTCAGACGAAATCAACTTCGTCAAATATGCAGATGACCTGTCTGTATCGTTTCCCATTAAGTCTCAGTCAGACTGTTTCAAATTAAATAGCTTCCTGTCGGACATCAGTCAGTCGTCTAAACTAAATAGCCTTATGCTGAATCCCTCAAAATGTCAGACTATTGACTTCTCCTTTAGGCATAAACGAAATCTACAAACACTAGTAAGTACTCATGAAGCCTGTTGCATTGAGGGGACTAAAATTGAAACTAGGTCTACTGCAAAATACCACGGTCTAGTTCTACCTTCCGACCTTACTTGGTCATCTCATATCCTAACGATTTCTAAGAAAGTGTTCTGTCTAACGTACTACATTAAGAAACTTAGACAATCTGGAATCACCCAACCTATACTTTCACAATTTGTCAACTCTTGTATCTTACCTATTCTACTTTACTGCTCCCCATTAGTCTTTCCTGGGCTACTGAAAAAGGACTATACCATCCTGAGAAGGATATTGAAGGTAGTTAGTAGGACTAGTGGTGTAAAACTCAGTCAGCTCGTCACTACATTAGTTGAAAGGCATCTGAATACATGCGAAAAATGGTCTGAAACCATACTCTCCGACCCCCAACACCCTTTCTATTCCCAACTCTCGCCTTGTATCTCATCAAGTAGAACCAGAAATCAGTATAAAATAATTTATGCTCGTACAACCAAGTACAGGAACTCAACGATACTCAACCATACTTGGCCCGTGTTCTAAGTGACAGAGATAATGTTAAGCGCGAAACCTATGACTTGCTTTGTTGTTAATAACATAATTTTAGGCTCTTTTATTTCTCTCTTATTTTGCATTCTATAGTGAACTCCTTCTTAAACATACTTAGCTACCTAAATTATTAACATTGGCTTACTTTTTTGTACTTTACTGTATTCCTTCTTTTGTGTATCTACTGGTTCCGACTATATTAGCACTATGAGTAGTACAAAATTGTCCTGTCATTAACCATCATGTAATTATTAGTTTTTGTGGTTGTATTTTCTTATTTTTTATTTTTTTCGGCAATATTAACTGACAATCATTGGTTGTGAACGCCAATATCACCATCTTAAAATTTTGTATAATGCAGGATTACTCACACTACCACTACAAACACTGCATTAGACCTGACAATGAAAAATAAAACAACAACCCTGAAATGTTATTTTATGATTGTTTAGTGTTGTTTCAACCAAATTAACTGATCATCTTGGCGATAAACATTCTTAAATATCATTTCATAACTTCTTGTATGACTATAGCTTTACTGTCACCATGCATAATCATATCATAGCTTCCACTACCCAATACTGAGATATTATTTTATGTTGTTTATTTTCCTTTCTACTTCTTGGTATTTTTTCGCATTTTTTAAAAGTTATTTTGTGTTTTTCCTGTTTTTTTGCTGTTGTTGTCTTTATATTTATTTTTTTCTTGAAAATACTCCTTTTAAATGTTTGATAAAATTAGATGCAAATATTGTAGATATGTGCTGAAAATTCCACACTGTACCACTAGTACTGTTTCTGGAATAAAGCAAATTATTATTATTAAAAAAATATTCTCAAGAAGGAGAGTAAAAACTTACATCTTCTTTGACTAACTACTTAACACATAAGACAGATTATAAAATTGACTCTTTAAAAAAATTTTTACTGAGAACTGACAACGAACACCAATAACCATTAATGAGAGAAACCTAGAGAAAGTCTTTTTCACTTACTTCATGTAAGCAGTATTGTTCTAACTAAAGAGAGGCGATACAGATGAAGACGTCGAAGCCAGAAGGGGGAAATTAAGACAGGTATTTGTTAATTCATGAAAAATTCCCATTCGAACATTAATAGACAGAAGACAAGTAGTTCAGCGAAGAGTCTCTTTTTGGCGAATTCATTTTCATAGCTGTACAATAGCAAATATATATGGTTGTTTTGTATGTGTGTGTACATTAAATTTGCCAAACGAAAATACAATTAGTAAGTTCAGATGAATTGGATGTTGATATAAGAGGGTAGAAACAAAAGTGATGAGTTGTCACAAACGATTGTTAAAGAAGAGTTGCGTAATAACATGAATAGTTTAATGAAAGAGTTGTACTCAGGGTGGACATGGAAACAAAATATACGGAATTACACAAGGGTTTTAAGTAGAAAAATAAGCATACAAACAAAAGTTAAGTCACATCAAACAAACAAACAAAGAAAAGTTTAGTCAAATCAACACAGCTGTTACCATGGGAGTAGAAGTAGTTGAATAATTTTCTATTGTATGCACAGTTCTGGTTCCTCTAGCTTAATGGCTAGGGCTTCTGAGATGCAAAGAAGACGGAATCGCACTGTCTTTGGAAGGTTGTTCTTCACTTTGTAGATTACTTCGAAGGAGGCGTTTGTTGAGATGGAATGACCAGTGTTGACGAGGTTTTCTGTTATTGCATTCCTTATGCAGCCATTACTTCCTTTCTGTAGCCACTCTGGATAGTGTTCTTTGACCCTTTTTGACAGGATACGCGTTGAACGACAGATATACCAACCACAGCAACAGGTGAACTGATATATATATATATATATAACAGTCGTTTGTGACAACTCATCACTTTTGTTTCTACCCTCTTATATCAACATCCAATTCATCTGAAATTACTAATTGTATTTTCATTTTCAAGTATTGGTTTGGTAGGGATTTTGTTTAATTATATGGAGGATTTCATCATGAGCTGACATCAGTTAGAGAACCACTGGAAAACCTGGGAGTACTGGACAGCTTTTTCGTTCTCGTTTGGGACTCTTCATCAGTACGAGCCCACCGGGATTCGAACCCAGGACCTTCTGGTTACAAGGCTAGCTCGTAGACCATTGAGCCACTGGGACCCGATCCAATGGTCCTTGAATTCTAACTTCTGCCAATTCACGACATAGCGCGACCATTTCGCAATGTCTTCTTAGATGAGTTACTGTCACATCTTCAACCTGCTGTACCCTACTGGTCAGCTGTCCAGTACTCTCAGGTTTTCCAGTGGTTCTCTAACTGATGTCAGCTCATGATGAAATCCTCCATGTATTTTCATTTGACAAATTTAATGTACACACACATACAAAACAACCATATATATTTGCGATTGCACAGCTATGAAAATGAATTCGCCGAAAAGAGACTCTTCTCTGAACTACTGGTCCTCTGTCTATTAAGGTATTTGTTACCCTAAAGTCAATGTGGAGACCTATATTACTCATTGCGAGGAAAAAAACCCGAGTTTATAACATCAGTGTTAAGTTAGTGCTTCTGTATGATTCAGGGACTTGGTCCAGGCATCACCGAAAAGCATTTTTAACTGGCTTTCTAGTAGACTTTCATCAGGACTCGCCCTCGTGACCTGGATACTGAATATCAATCAGATGGCTGGCCGAAAAGGATAACCAGCAAGGAACTATGGTAGATTGGTTAACCAACCAAGAATTTACTATGAATTAAATATGCATTGCGAGATGCAGATGGACTGTGGACATACGTCGGGGAGACTTCTAAGTGATATTACATGCCAGACAGGTCTTCGAATGAGGAACGATGAATATAATATCACTTAAGAATGACATAGAGAAGATCATATAAAGTGGAAGTGAGAGACTGTTTGTAGTCGTACAATCGGCTAAACACAATAGCACAGAACTAAGCGCCAATGGAGTTATACTGATGAAATCCTGTGTCGCACTCAGAGTACAAGGAATGAATAATATTCAAGTGTTAGTTTGTAGGGATTTGATTGGTTACAGGATTTTCATCATGAGCTGACATTAGTTAGAGAACCATTGGGAAACCTGGGAGTACTGGACAACTGTTTCGTCCTAGTTTGGGACTGGCTCCTCAGCAGTATGCACCCACCGGGATTCGAACCCAGGACCTATTGGTTACAAGGAGCTCTGGTTACGAGCTCGCCTTGCAACCAGAAGGTCCTGGGTTCGAATCCAGGTGGGTGCGTACTGATGAAGAGTAGCAAACTAGGACGAAACAGCTGTCCAGTACTCCCAGGAATGAATAATAACTTAATGTTTCTACTAGGGATTTTAATATTTTTTTTGTTAACTGGCTTACATTTGCCTCATTTCTTGGTTTTATTCTTTATCCTTTCTTTATCTCAGAAAATTCCACACAAATTCACTGGTGACTCTGTTACAACAATGTCAGCAGATAACAGTTTCACGTCAATTTATTCATCACAAAGTATTTCAGACGATTCTTTGCTGAATGAATCAGATGAAAAAAATAAGACAATCAATGGACAAATATCACGTCTTCCATTACCAAAGCTTACTTTAGCTAAAAATAGAGATGGTGAATTCAATGTGGTTGAAAATCGTGAAGAAAACACTGTCAAAGGAATCTCTGATGCTACCGATGAAGAGTATAAACCTGCTACTCAAAGAATTACTAATAGTACAAGTAATGACTCTGAAAGTACAGATGTTAGTGATAGTTATACACCAGTGAATAATTCATTAGGTAATACAACAGAATTATGTAAATCTTCAAAACGTAAATGTGTAAATAAACAACGGACAAATTGTCTTTCGAATAAACGAATGAAAAATAGAACATCTCAAGAGAGTTCAGAAGACGATCAAAAGTCGAATGCTGATGGTAGTGTATACGATCTTAACAGTGAAGAAGTGAAACAAGACATGAACGCAAAGCATAATTTATCCAGTTGTGTATCCAGTTCTGAAGGAATAAAAACTACGCAATGCGAAATACCAAATGTTGTGTATACAAATAATAATAATAATTTGAATTCAAACCTACTGTGAACAGTGTGACACCATCGCAATCTGTTAATTCACTGTCAAATTCATCAGCATTTCTACCTGAACTAACAATAACTCCTAGAGTCGAAGAATCCAAAAAGTAAGTTGTTAACGCTTTCTTTTTCCAGTAAATAATATTATTTATTTTATTATTATTGCTCCCTTGGGTTCCTAGTGGAACATAGGGCTTCAACTGCACGTCTCCACTTGCTTCTGTCTTCTGACCTATTTTTCACCTGCATCCATGTTAGTCCAAACACACGATCTCCCCCATGTCACCCTTGAACTGACGTCCCACTACTGGCCGCTTCCCTTTCGGGTTCCACTCGAGCACTGGCCTGACGCGTAATGTCACCCAGCGGCCTCCTCCTCAGAGAGTGTCCAATCCATCTCCACTTTCTCTTGCATATTTGTTGAGCGATTGGTTCTTGTTTTGTTTGTTCCCATAGTATCTTGTTGGTTCTTGTTCTTTCCGGCCATCTGATCTTCAGTATAGAGCAACGAAGACAGTTGTTGATAAAGGTGTGCAACAGGCTGTTGGAAATATTCTTTGTGACCCGCCGCCAAGTTTCTGATCCATCCGTATAGAAGAACTGACTGACTTGACTTTTGTATTGAAAATCCGAATCATTTTGTTATTGATGCAGGCTGAGTGACAGTGGAAGATTTCCAGATTGGTTGTTTCAGGTTGACGAATGTGTTTCTCGCCTTTCCGATTCTCGTCTCGATTTGACATCCTCGTCCGTTCCATGTGCCTGTAGTTGAGACAATACTCCATAGATAAGTGAATGAAGTAACCTCTGGATGTTGCTGTTGGTTGTTTATTTTCATAACCTCCGTCTTATCTATGTTCACCTGGGGTCCTGTCTTCACCGGCTGCTTCTTCGACCAGTTTGTCGGTTTTCGCTTGTAACTCTTCGATTTTGTGTGACATCAGACATAAATCATCCAAGCGCGAAATCCAGGTCTTCTAGATTCTTCACATTGGTCCAGGATATCCCTGTCTTCTTGTTTCCCACTGTCTGACGCATAATCCAGTCCACCACAATTAGTAATATCATTGGTGATAATAAGCACCCTTGTCTGACTCCTGTGTTTACTCCAAACGCTTCGCTGAGTTTTCCGTTGTGGATCACTTGACATGTGCCGTTGTCGTACAGGTGTTGAATAAGGTTGATGAATATTTGGGGTGCGGCGTAGTACTTGAGTAGTTTCCAAATTACTTCGCGGTCAACGCTGTCGAAGGCCTTCTCAAAGTCGAGGTAGAGTAAATAATATACGAGTAGTTTTTTGAATCAGCAGGGGATTTGTTAACTCCAGGTTTTTTACATATTTGCACTTTCATCAGCACGTTTATATACATAGTGTGATTTTTCTCGAAACAAAGTTTAAGATAGTGCATTTTCTCTCTAAGCGTGCTGGTTATTTTAACAAAGAATTATATAGCTCAGAAATTGATCGATCCTATGTCATGTGTATCTAACCCTTAGTATTGGTGATGACTGAATTCTATCAGCCAAGTCTGCAAGACAGTTAGTTTCTAAGGCAGGTGACTAGTCACCGTGTTACACTCTTGACTGCCGTTGCGTAGTTATTAAGTAGTCAGTGGGAGGTCATAGACCTAGACTTTTTTCCTGTTTGGCCCTCATCTGTCAGATATATCTACAAGATTACGGAAATTGATGCTCTGTCTCTCGTAGTTTCGAATCTGTTTTTCTTCATACAATGGATAGGTAGTTCCTAAGTCTCTTGGTTTCTTTCTAGGCATAGTTTTCTCTGTTTTGATATCATTTTTTACCGTTTAAGTTTAATAAAGTTCATTACTTTACAGGCTCACTTACTGTTTTTTCCGCCTTACTTCCACTTCATACTATTAACAGCTCGCCAATCTGCTTCACCACTGTGGAATCTGTACAGTCTGGAGCAAATGTAAGTAAAAAGATTATTTTTCCCTTTATTTCTTTATTTCCTACCAATTAGCCGAATCTGAATTTTGTTCTCTATGAGTAAGCGCATATATATTTGAATAAGGCATTTAGAAGACAAATTTTGCGAGATGACATCGTCATTTCGTAGTTTTATGAAAAAGAGAAACGTTCAGCGAAGGGACTCGAAGATACCTCAAAAAAAAGAGCCTCTTCGCTGAACGTTTTCTCTTTTTCATATAACTCAATGAGGATTTTGTGGTTTCTTTACTATCGCTTTACAACTAACATGGTACACAACAATAAAATAAAATGCATGACAATTACTCAGTTATATGGAGCAAAAGTACATACTAATGACCAATCATACTTAAATAGACACCTTGAATATTAAGGAAAACGTTGTGTGCTTAATCGACATAGAATCTTTATTTACCAATGTTCCGTTTCATGCAACTATTAATTTCATTTGCCATTATATCACAAGAAATGGGATAAATTTGCATATTCCTGCCACTTACATCAGAGAAATTATCTTAATATGTACAGAAAATATCAGATTCACCTTCCAGGAAAAGGCATGCAAACAAATCGATGGTGTTGCAATGGGAAGCCCTCTTGGGCTCCTGTTAGCAGATATATTCATGTCGAAATTGGAGAAACAAATGCAAGGTATAGGAATTCACCATGAGCTGACACTAGTTAGAGAACCATTGGAAAACCTGGGAGTACTGGACAGCTGTTTCGTCCTAGTTTGGGACTGGCTCCTCAGAAGTACGCACCCATCACAGGAGGTTCGAACCCAGGACCTTCTGGTTACAAGGCAAGCTAGCTCGTAGACCATTAAGCCACTGGGACCCGATCCAATGGCCAATCCATGAATTCTAACTTCTGCCAATTCACGACATAGCGCGACCCCTAGCCAATGTCTTCGGCGAGTATTTGTCCTCACGCCCGACCTGCTGCACCCTACTGGTCACGACTTCTCACTAGAACCCCAGGTGACTACCTACCATACAAACCAACACTTGAAAATGCAAGGTATGCTAGGAGAATTTATGCTATATACATGTTATGTGGATGATACACTAATTACTGTTAATAATAGTAAGTCTATTGAAAACTTTATTACTCTCTTCAATCATATTCATTCAAATATCCGAGTGATTTCCGAACTTGAATCGTATAACAAAATCGGTTTTGCTGGATATTACAATGACCAGCAGAGACGATGGAACGACTAAGCGATCTATTTTCCGTAAACAGACATGGAGTGGACAATATATTCATTTCACCAGTTTTGTTCCTATCCAGTACAAAAACGTGCCCTAGTGAAATATTTATTTTCTAGGGCCCGCCAAATATGTGCGAGTGACACATTGATGGATAATCTTCGACATATACATTCAGTTTTGCTAACTAATGGTTATCCAGAAAACTTTATCAATTGTCACAGTAGGGATAGACCACATCTAGAAAAGACAGCTTCTGTACCAAAGAAAGCTATCTTTATTGACCTACCATTCAAGAGTGATCAAATTATGCAGTAGACAGCTGAAAGACTTCGGTCAGCCATCAAATACACATTCTACGCTGCATCTCTTCCCCTCACATCTCCAACATTTTCGATCCCTGTACCTACGATTAAAGAACGAAATTCTGTGGACTCTACTTCAAACTGTATCTACAAGTTCACCTGCAGTTGCAGTGACACATATATAGGTAGAACCAATAGAATGTTCCAATGTCGTCGAAAAGAACATGTTCCAAAATGGTTATTAAAACATATAGGAAATCCTAATGCAATTAATCTGAATTGAAATCCATTATCTTCATCCATTGCAAAGCACTTATTAATGGCCGGTCACAAAATCAATATTAATGACTGTTTCACAATTATTTCACATAACTCTAATTCAAGGTTATTGAAGGTGATGGAAGCACTTTTGGGGATTAATCACATACATCCTTAACTATGTGTACGAAAAACAATAGACTTCAATCTTCGCTGAACGTCTTCTCTTTTTCATAAAACTACGAAATGACGATGTCATCTCGCAAAATTTGTCTTCCAAATGCCTTAATCAAAGTGACTAACTGTTTTAATTTATATGTATATATATATTCTTAAAAAGAGTGTTTGTACCAATGTTAGTGGACATTCACTAAATTTTTCCACTTGAACTAACAACAGAGTTGATGGATGTTTCTTTCTCACCTCCTTTTTTATTTTATGACTGTATAATGTAAACAGCCATTGTGAACTAAGTGAATATATAATCCTAACGATAAGACGGTTACAACGAAGAAAATTTTCTTTTCGGTGAAGTCAACAACTAGGCTGTACATTCGTGTATCTCTAGAAAGTGTATAAGAGAGTTCAAGGATTGTTTTAGGTCAAAGGTCAAATTAATAAAATTACAAAGTGTAATAAAGACAACAATAGGATTATAATTATTGAAAAACTTGAGTGTTTGTACAAATCAAGGATAAAGGACGTAGTAATAACAAAATAGGTAGGAAGTTCGGACATAAATAAAACCAAATCTAGTCATGCAGATAAGAATTAAAAACGTAAAAATAACAGAAATAAACAGGAAGGTTGGATAAGAAAGGTAATAGGATAATTATTATTGGTGAGACTGACTTTTCATTATGGCCATGGTAGGGACAACGGTTGAATGTATTTCTTTTCGACACATAGAATAGGCTTGAGTTTGAGCGTCTTCAGTGCCTCAGATATTCCTAGATGCCTAGATTCCCCCCCCCCCCGTTTGACAGGTTTGGTCGGATCTTGAGTATGACTTTGAAGGACTTTTCAAATAGAGCTGAATATTCTGAATTCACCAGGTGTTCTGTCACCGAACTGTATACAACCTTGAGCTTTCCCTTTGCAAGCCATGCTGGATATTGTTCTCGAACGCGTTTTACAAGCAGACTATGGTTACGGCCAGTGTGTTCGACTCCACACGAGCTAGTGAACTGGTATATGTATGTTGAAGCGGTTCAGTGCAACAGCTTGTCTTTCACGTGCTGGTTGAATAGTTTCTTGCAAGGAAATGTTACTCGTAGGTTGGCGGCAAACTATATTCTACTGTGAGACTTCGAAAGCGGTCTACGATGAATTCCTACTTCGGTATCCCTTTTACATTCGAAATTGAGTATTAGCATTGTTTTGGGGGTAATTCGGACCTTTTCAGGTGAAATTTTTGGTTTTAGATATATGTCTGTGAATCTGGACAGGGGAACCATTTTCTAACAGAGTCCCTCGGAAATTTTGTAATTCTTTATCTCTATTGAGTCTTCAGTGCAAATCATATGGATTCTCGAGGAAGGAGAGTATATTAGGTTTCTCTTTCTGCTTAGAGGCATATAGCTTTGAAAGTTAATAAATCGTCCTTTCGATGCGGCTTTTTTGTAGATGGATCTTCTCATTGAGTTTACTACATAAGCTAATTTTCTTGGATTTAATTAACATCTGGTTAATTTTTTTTTGTATTTTTTTCCTTCTAGAATTTGCCAGTGAGCTCATATTTCCCTTCAACAAATAATGCCATTCCCTCCAGTCATCCCATCTGTTCGACCAGTAGCAATCAAAGTTTTACGTATTTATCTCCAAGTAAGTTTACAGAATTTCACCATCTGAAGTGTGGATGGTTTTATTTCCTTCCTTCCTATTAATATTAAGTGAATGAATTTTGAATTCAACCTTATTGACAAATTATGAGATGTTTTTTTAAAAATATTCACAGAATAAAATCCTTAAGTCTATAACAGAACAAATATAGCTGTTTAGGAACATTGCATTTAGCGTTTATCATTCCTTAAAAAGTATTAGAGATAGTCAGAAAATTCATGTCAGCTATGTACAGCTAACACAAAACAGCTGTTCTAATAACTTCCACTGAAATCACAAATCTTGCTTTAAATCATTTTAAGAATCAAGGCATATTTATTGTCTACTTTGTTGCTATGGTGATCATACATATTTGAAAGATATTTTAATTTATTGTGTGGGTCTGTACGCATGAATCTGAATTTGGTTTCATGTGAAGTGGGGTGTTTGCTTGAAGTTTCTGAGCCTCAGCTTTTAATATTTAAGATTATTTTTATTATTCTCTTGGGTTCCGAGTGGAACATAGAGCTTCAACAACGTATCTCCACTTTCTTCTATTCTCTGCTATCCTCTTTATCTCCTTCAACTCACACGATCTCCTCCATGTCAGCCTCCATTTCACCGATGACCCACTCTTCATTTCCCATTGGGATTCCACTAGGGCGATGACCTACATTGTGTGCGATGTCATTCGACCCCCCAATTCATCCCCATCTTATTCTAAATAATTGCTAAGCAATTGGTTCTTGGTTGGTTGGTTGATTTGTTCCCAGCCAGTTACTTGTTGCTAATTGTTTCTGGCCGGCTGGTCAGCCATCTGGTCTTCAGTACGGCGACAGTGAAGACAGCTGTTAATAAAAGTTTGCATTAGTCTGTTGGAAATCCTTTCCGTGACACACCAAGTTTCTGACCTGCACATATATATATTTGAATAAAGCAAGAACAACAGTGGTTTGTGCAGAATAATATGGTACCACCATTTAATTCGTTGGCTTCTCATCAGCTGCTTACAGCCTAAATAAATTATGAGGTTTGCGTGCAGAAAAGTCTTAACATACTTGCAAATTTTGCATGTTGTCAGTTGACAAAAATTTCCACAATTAGTGAACAGTGTTCAGAAAATTGCGTTTATATAGCTTTTGCACAGACAATTCAAGTTTAAACAAAATAAATGTATGGATACAATGGTAAAGGAGTGAGGTTAAAGTCAAAGATTATGTAATCAAATAATAGAGAGAATAAAGACATCCAGTTACCAGGATGGGCAACGAAAGACTGATAACTACTTCTTTCTGAATACATATATCTGGTTTCAAGCGTTTGATAGAAATTGCTTCGGCAAACTTGAGGAGAATGGAACTCCTTTGTTTATTGATAATTTTAAAGGATTTCCCGATTTCTACCTAATGACCCGTGTCGAGGAGATGTCTAGTAATAGCACTACTATAAGAGTTTGTTCCCTTGAGACGTAGACTTTTCAAAACATGTTCAGAAAATCGGAGGTGTACCATTCTTTCTGTTCTCCCAATGTAACTGCTGCCACAGATACATGTAAATTTGTATACACAGTTGGAGTTAACATGAGAAGGATATCTATCGACTTTTGATTGCACCAGAGAGCAAGTTGTTCGAAAGACGGGAACGAGCTTAGCTGCAGGATAGGCTCTGGCTAGTGGCGTCCTCAGTCTTCTGTTGACCATTTCTGCAATGTTTTCACCTTTAAAATCTAGTTGAATGAAGACAGGCTTTTTTTCAGCTGTGATTTGTTTGGTATTTGAGCCTTCACATCTTCCATATTTGTTAATGAATCTTTGAGGATAACCGTTGTTTTTCGAGAATCGTAAATTCGTCCTCTAGTTTCCCTGTAGAGCATATTCTTCTTGCTCTATAGTACAGACTAGACCGCGTTTAAAGCTATTTGGACAAAAACTATTAAAATGTAAGTATTGTCCATTCCATGTAGGCCTTCGGTAAATTGACCTCTGGAGATAACCATCTTCTAGGCGTTGTATGACGATGTCAAGGAAATGGAACTTTACATCATTTCCATGTTCCATAGTAAATACAATATTTGTATGTGTATGTGTGTGTGTATGAATAGGTTGAGTAGGTAGGAGGCATGACTTTCGTTGTTGCATACTACAAATGTGTCATCGACATATCGATAATAGGAAGTTGTTTGATCAATTACATGCTTCAACTTTGTTTTCTCAAGGTTTGACATGAAGATATCTGCTAAAGCAGGACTAAGTGGAATGCCCATGGCTACACCATCTATTTGGCGGCAAAGAGTGTTGTGAAACTGGAACTTTGCACCCATGGTACACATTAGCAGTAGGCGTTTGAATTCTGACTCTGGTAGTGGAAGAACTTCAGACTGTTGACAAATGATCTCAATGGTTGCATTGATTGGGATCATTGTGAACAAGGAGGTTGCATCAAATGAAGCCATGGACCTATTTGAAACGTTCATGTGATTCACGCTTTCGGTGGAATGAAATGAGTCTTTTATGGTATGCACGGCTAGCCGTCGGCGAATGGGTTCCAACTTCTCCGCAAGCCAACGGACAACCTTATATTGGGGAGATTTATTATCGAAAGTATAGGTCTCAGCGGGACTTCTTTCTTGTGTGTCTTTGGAAGGCTATATATATATATATATATATATATATATATATATAGTAAACATAGACCAGTGTCATTACGCAATAAGCTTCAGCAATGACCCAACAGAATATAACAAAACACTTTAGGTTCTCAGAGAAAACCAATAGTTTCTGGCTGATACGAATAGTTTGGAATGAGTAGTTTTGCTAGAAGATGAATTGAGTTGTTGTTTCAGCGGTCGACTGAGAATGCAGAAAAGCTGAAGGAAATTCATGAAAACTTTCTGCTGTTTAAAATTCAGTTAAGCTATTTACCAGATCTTTATGTTGTAGATTTTTCTTACTGATTTGTAAGAATGTAATTGGGTAAAAAAAGGATTTCTTCTTGTCTTTCACTAAGTATCAGGCTGAAAATTATTCCTGGAAAACAGCACACTGCTATATTTAATTACTCAGTCTGTTGAAAATCCTGCCCCTATTCCCGAGAACTTAAAGATGAATACAGTCTTCACCTGACGACTTTGTTCTGTATGAAACAGAATTTCCAGAGATTTTCTGGTGGACAGTTCTAAAGCGAAATGTTTGTTTGTCGGTTAAATTGGTATTATTTGCAAACATACTACCAAAAGTATAGTTTCTTTATATGATGTGCAAATGTGTCAACAGGGCACTTGAATGCTAACGCGATTTAAGTTCCCTTTTCAGTTTCAGCCGTCACTGCGTTACATAACGTTTATGAACTTTACTTGATGAATATGAAGACAATAGGTTTTTATTTTTACGAGTTTGACTGTGGATTGATGTCAGTTAGAGAACCATTGAAAACCAGCACTGGAGTACTGCCAGACAGCTGTTTCACTCTAGTTTGGGATTCATCGGCAGTACGCACCCACCACAGGGGTTCGAACCCAGGACCTTCCGGTTACAAGGCAAGCAATTTCGCATACCATCCAGCCACTGGGATCCGATTCAAAGGGAGAAGCTAGAATTCATGGGCTGACCATTGAATTGGGTCCCTGTGGCTGAATGGTATGCGAATTTGCCTTGTAACCGGGAAGGTCCTGGGTTCTAACCCCTGTGGTGGGTGTGTACTGCCGATGATTCCGAAACTAGGCTGACGAAACAGCTGTCTGGCAGTACTCCAGTGTTGGTTTTCAATCTTTCTCTAACTGATATCAATTCGTGGTTAGACTCGTAAAAACAAAACTAATCCTTACAAACCAACTCTTGAAAATAAGTTTTCAATTATTATTTCTACAAGAAGTGGATTAAGCTTGCGTAATTTTCTTTTCCTTTATCAATCTTACCGTATTTTATTTATTTATTTTTGTGATATAATTTCAGTACAACCTGTTACAATGTGGAGTCGTTTAGCCAGTCCTTTGCCTGCACCAGACCCACCTACTAAACTTTTCAATACTAAACGTATTCCTGCACATCATCAATCTGTTAATAATAATAATAATAAATGTCAACCGTTTCCAATGATAATACCAGCTAATTCTGTGGTGTGTGGTAATCAAATGACATCACAACTGCCTCAATATCTCACTCCAAATCCAAATCGTACAAGTATTCCGATTCCTATTCATTCAACGACTAATTTGCCTTCAGATGTACTGTTTAACCGTAATGCAAATATGAACTTGTCAGGGTTGACTACAAATCCAGTGCACTTCAATTCAACATTTTGTAATAATTTCCCTTCCTTAAACGACCTGAATTCCAAACAGATTTTACAGAACTGTAACAAAATTCAGTTGACCAATCAAGGCTGTTCATCATCTTTTCCTAATGCTGCTATTCATCCTTCATTACCTCCGGTAGGATTACCGTTACAACAACAACAACAACAGGCACCATTAAGACTGCCTACACAACTACCACATTCGTTGTCTTTCCCTTATGCTGCTCCTTCTTCTTCATCTTCTTCTTCTGCATATACATTCAATGGAAATCAAACGTCGTGGTCATCTTCAATTGACCAGTTCATAAATCACCTGTCAAATCCTTATATTTCAAACATATCTGAAAATATCCCTGTATGTTATGGGACATCAGTGGTATTGCCTCCAGGAAATTCAGTGTTAAACACTAACCCTACTCATAATATTAATAGTAGTAATTGTAACAATCAGAACAATTTTGTATCGTATCCATTTTTTATACCTCATCCAATACTTAGAAATATTTCACAATCTAATAATAATCCATCGTTGTCAACGCCTGTACCTGGATCATATCCAGCTTCTTTACAATCTGTCTTAGGCACATCCTTTATGTTAGGCGGACAAAATTATAATAACAATAACACTACCAATGTTCAAAACTATGCCTGGATCCCACCATCGTTTTAAGCGTACCAATAGCTAAGCTGGTCAGCTGTATCTACATAATTATTTGTATATAAGTATATATGTGTCTGTACGTATATGATTGAGTGCATAATCGTCGAGTTATGTGCCTAGTTCTCTCCTGCAATCTTGTGATTAATCTATTCTGTTAGTAATAGATGGCGCTTCATTTCAACACATAAGCCTTATGCGTGTGTATGTGTGGTGTACATAAAAGATGTGTATATTTTTCCTTATGCTCCTTTTTCTTCCATATATATTTGTAAATATATTTGCGCAGGTTTTTCACCTCCATCTTAGTTCCTCTACTTGCTAATACAAAAACTTGACAGACGGTATATTTTCTGTTTAGCTGTATCTACCAAGGAGATTGATAATACATTGAAATACATTTTTTTTTATGAATTCTTATTCTTTTCATTATAATAAAGGTTTTTCGTATTTCCCAATGAATGAAAAACAAAACGATGCTATTGTTTTTACTGACGTTTCGCTATTTAATGCTAAAGCTTTATCAAAGTATTATTAAACTGGAATTTACAAAATCTCAGCATATATATAACAAAGAGTTAAGGGGTGAGAAAATAGACTTAGGTCAAGTTGAAAGGACATACTGAAAGCCAAAAGAACAATGAAGATCACTAAAACCAAATAACAAAGGTAATAGTACATCAGTTATGATATCAAACCAAAGTTTACTAACTTGATTATCGTTCATCAGTCTGGGGTCATTTTTCGTTGTCATGCTGATCAATTGGTAAAGATAACAAAACCAAGTGTAGATTGTTGGATTTGATCAGTGTTTAAAATTATAAAGGCAGTGTGTGTTTACACAGTGAACTTGCGTATCACATTCGTGTTGATTTTGTCACTTCGTGGGAGAGGCAGGTGTTGTAACCAGGTCAAATTCTGATGTATTCCATCATTCTTATTCAGGCCATTTGGATTCCACTTGATATGAAGTGCTTCTGATATTAGGCGTTCTTTGTAATTTCTGAAGTTTTTCTGGATTATTTCAATATTGTCAAAGTCAATTTTGTGGCCTGATTCTATGTCTGATGATTTTTCAAGTTTTTCCAATTCAACCGGATTTCTCGGTGGTCGAACAGATGTGGCTCTACGGTGTTCATTTCTTTTGATTACCTTGATTTCTCTCTGGCTATGTTTGTCCGATGTATATCGTATCACATTTCAAGCATTTTATTTTATAGACACAATTAGATAGAGAATCTTTGGGGATTTGGTCTTTCATATGGACAAGGTTATTTCGTAGTGTGTCTGATGTTTTGAAGAAAACTCTAAAGTCGAGCAGATTGAGTACTCTTCTGATATCGTCTGACGTCTCTGCTCTATATGGAATGACGACTGTTGAGATCTATGTTTTCGGAATGCGTTTTCGGCCATACTGAATGTCTGTGTTGATTTTGATCTTCCTCCATGAATCTGATATTCTAGCTAATAGATTTTGCGTTTTGATTAAATTCTGCACTCGACGAATGAATATACGTACTTATTTAGTTTTATAGTTTTGTTCATTTTTCTTAATACAGTTCAAACCTTATGCATAGTCAATAGTTTAGTGCATGTACACAGATGACAAAAACCGACGAAATATAATGACGTTATTCTATCCTGCCTAATGTGCTCTGTTTACTTTGTTCAAGTTCATTGAATTTTAATTTATTGAGGCTGCTGTTAGTTTATATCTTTTAGTGACAATGAAAAGTTAAAACGAAAGGCTTCTTTTAGCCTTAAGAGAGGTAAACAATCTGCTCAGTCAGTAAGATCTATCTATTTATGCGTAACTCGAATTTAATTTTTATTTATTTATTTTTTTCCTTCACGTTGCCCAGTGGAACATAGGGCTTCAAGCTAGTGGCTTCAAGTTTCTGTAGCAGTGTTTATTTTACAGGATGGGGTCCCTAGCCTCATGCCCAACCTTTCCTCTTCACCAGCACTATTTATGGCTTAGCGACGTAAAGGAGTGCGTCTGTGGCCGGGGATCGAACCCCGGACCATGTGCATGGTCTGCGAGCGTCCTAACCGCTATGCCACCGACGCACTTACTAGAATTTAATACAAATATTTTATTATTATTGTTTCTTCTAGTTCCTAGCAGAAAATAGGGATTCAGACGCACGTCTCCACTGAGTTCGGTTCTCCGCCAACCTTTCCAACTGGCTCCACGTCTGCCTACATGCTTTCATCTCCTCTGCACATCACCTCCTTCATGTCACCCTCTAACTGACGAGCAACTCACCGCTACCCATTTGGGTTCCATTCGAGTGATGGCCTGGCGTGTGATGTCACTCACTTGATGGTTTGTTTTATAAGAGTATGGTCTCCATTCCACCTCCATTTCTTCCTGCATATTTTTTGCACAATCGGTTCCTTCCGGGTTGGTTCGTTAATTGCCAGACATCTTCCCCTGTTGCTGATCTTTTCTGGCCAGCCCTCTGATCTTGAATAATGTTGAGCGAAGACAGCTGTTGATGAAGGTTTGTGGTTTGTTCGAAGTGCCCTTCGTGACGCGCAGTGCAAGTCTCTGATCCGTCCGTATAGTAAGTAGCACCGACTTCACATTAGAGTGGAAAATCCGGATCTTATTTTCATTTTCGTGCTGAGTGCTGTTGACCTCCACACAGACTTGACGTGAGTAATGAAAGCTTGCCTTGCTCTCTCAATCCTCACTTTGATGACATTCTCATCAGTTCTGTCCGCCTGTAGTTGAAACGATGCTTCCCGGGTAGGTAGGTAGGTAGGTGGGTAGGTGGAGGAGGTTACTTCTTTCAAATCTATCCCATTTATGCTAATTGTTATCTGTTGTTATTGCTGTGGCTATTGCTGTTGGCCAGGAATCTTCATCACCTCTGTTTTCTCTATGTTCTTTGATGCTTCTTCTGCCTACTTGTTACTTTTCACTTGCATACCTTCCAGTTTGTGGGAAATCAGACATAAATCATCTTTGGCGAAGACCAGATCCTCCAACTCTCCTTTTGTGTGAGTCCATTTTATGCCTGTTTCCCCGCTCCCCACTGTCTGTCGCATTATCCAATCTACTGCAATCAGGAAAATCATTGGTGATAGTAGACAACCAGCTTGTCTTACTCCCGTCTTCACTTCTTTGAAGTATTCCGTGATTTTCCCCGTTGTGGATTACTTGGCATGCAGCATTATCGTGCAACTGTTGGACGAGGTGTATACTTGTTGATGGCACCCCTTGGCAGTTGCAAATTAGTTTCCAAATCACCTCTCGATCGACGCTGTCGAAGGCCTTTTCAAAGTCAATGAAGTTGAAAGGCACAGGATTCATTAACAAAATCCACTAACCAAGTAAATTGAAAGGAAAGTTATCTGGCAGCATATGGCTAAAGCATATGACAACTTCTAGCACTGTACCTAGTGGTGAATAGAAGTTAAATCCTGAATGTGATGTGACACAATGTGATTTTATTAGAATTTACTATAAGTATGTCTCACTCCACAGACAATGACTTCTTATGGTTTCTAACCTATCTTTTGGATTATTCGACTAAATCTATCACATTCTTTTTAAAGCAATTAGTTCCCTTTATGAATTTCGACAACACAATAAGAAGATGTAGTTTATCTGAAACATGTAATGTATTGGCGCAACACATTTCGGACATTCTGATCGCACACGTACTTGTCATACACAGTTTTTATAGAAGGCAAGAGGGCATGAATAATTACAATACACGTCATATTGTGTACAGGTCAAGGTCACAAATAGTGGTTAGGGAGACGCAAAGGTGTGGGCAAGAAAGGTAAAAAGAGAAAAAACAAAGCAAAGAAGGGGTTGAAAATGTAAAGTAAATTGGTCCTTGGTTCTAAATTGGATTACCAAGGCAGGTTTAAGGTAATAACAAATAACTTTTGGACACATAAGACAGGTTTAAGTCTTTTTATGGCTAAGGCTTCAATGAATTTAAGTATGTGGCCCAACCTTGTTTTATATATGGGCTTAAAGGCATTGTTGAAATCAACCTTATGACCCGTCTCTATAATATGCTTCGCTATAGATGATGCTGGATATCTATTTCCGGGTTCAGTTGTGTCTGGCGATTTCATTTGTTGTTGCAAACACTTTGGGATGTGTTGTGTAGCCCTAACCTGCAGAGACCGATGGGTCCTCCCTATGTACATGTCTCCACACATACATGTAAATTGATAAACACAGTGGGATATGACACTATCGTTCGGATGATGTGAGGGCTTACAGAACAGCATAGTTCTCGTTTTCTATTTGAAGATAAGTTCAGCTGCATTATAAGTTCTATTAATTGTGACCTTGAGTCTTTGTCTAGTGACTAGACTTTGTTGATCACCTCTGAACAGCAAGGATATGTAAACATCCTTTTTGGGAGCTGATTGGATTGGTAAAGCTCTATGGTTGACATTTTCGTAACGTCTAATAAATCTCAGTGGGTAATTGTTATCTAACAATATTTCAGTGAGGTGTTGTCTTTCTTCTTCAATTGTATCAGCAGTACATATACGATGAATGCGCTTGAACGAACATTTAACCAACGCCTTTTTATACTGTAGTGGACAGAAACTATAATAATCTAGATACTGCCCCGTCCGTGTGGACAGCCAGTGCTAGTGGTAGTGCTAACAACTAGTGCTTCGAAGTTTCAGTAGCAGTGGTGTTTTTATGGGATGGGGTTGCTATCCTCACGCCCAACCTTTCCTCTATACCGCATTTAATACCAAGTAAGCGAGGTTTAGGAGTGTGTAGGCCGGGGATTGAGCCCCGAATTAATTGCGTGGTTCTACCACTGGGCTACCGAAGCACATAGAATTATTTATTGGGGTATACTGCTGTATTACTGTGTCCTATACATCAAATGATGAAATACTCTAATATGGAATTACACTCCAAGACATTGTATTCATTCAAGTTCTACTCTTATAGAACAAGAAAATTCCTTTTGGAAGTCATAATGAAAGTTCAAAATGTTCACCCATCTAATATCTTTCTACAAGACTTCATTTATCCTCTTGGAAGATACAACAAGGAATGAATAAGTTAATGATTTATAACATTTATGCCTTTTATACAGATACACTATCCTTGAGCGACATTGAGACGGCAAGTAGAAACACTGAATCACGATAATATGGCCATTTCTCCAGCTACTGGGGACTTATGATACTTAACAGGTCAAATAAAAAATGGGATTACAGTATTATTTCAAATGTTCCCAGTGGAACATAAGGCTTCAAGAAAGAGGCTTGAAGTTTCGGTAGCAGTGGTGTCTATTTTTACGGGATGAGGTTGTTAGTCTCATGCCCAACCTTCCCTCTTTACAAGTCTTATTACTGGCTTAGCGAGGTTTGGGAATGCGTCGTCCGAGGATCGAACCCCAATCCACATGCGTGGTCGGCGAGCATTCTGCCGCTGTGCCACCGACGCACATTATTTCATATGAGTGAGATTATTTCATCACTATACAGTAATGAGACAGTACAAAATCATAGATGACAATAAGCAATCTTCGCGCATCACCTTCGTTTGTAAATATCG